GCGAGCGACGCCAACGTACCAGGAACCAATGGGCACACCGCTCGCAAACCCGTCAGTGAGCGCCGCTTGGACCCCGCTGCTCTTTTGAGGACCCGCAGATCCCTTTGCCTGCAGCCCTGAGCCGAACACAAAGTCCAGTGGCCCAGGTGTCCACAATCACGATTGAGGGGCAAAGGGAAAAGGGGGAAGAGGACAGAAGGAGACTAGAGAAAGGGAACCAAAGGGAGAAAAGAGAAAAATAATAATAAGTGGTAACTATTTGCCCGTTTTCTTAAGTCAGAGGCTGGGGCGAAAAGAGTAAAAGAACCGGGCCGACTCACCTTTAGACTCCAGGCGGCCGTCTTTTCAGCTTTCCCAAATACACGCTTAAATAGTCTGAAGACTCTAAGAACAGAGAAGGAGATCCCTGAGGGGACTCTCGGGAAAGTGGGTAACTCCAGGAACCAGAGATCTGAGTGGGTGAGCAAGCTCCCAGCTGTGACTTTTAGCTCAAGGAACCCGTGCGCCCGGGCTTAGCCCAGCCTGGTAGCGGATCCCTTAGAGAAACAGAGAAGGGTCTGCATCCACCAGGCACTCTCCGGGTGGATGGAGCCCAGGACTCGAAACCCAGGCCCAGCCTTGGCTCCAATCAGAGCTGGTGCTGAAAGAATGCCTGATCAAACACTTTCTCCCAAACCGGGGGAAATGGTGCCCGAGGCGTTCACTAGCGGATAGGCAGCCACGGTTCAGTGCGGCGTGGGGCACAGGAACAGGGGTGACGAGTCCAAAACCTGTGTCCCGGCCACGCCACATACCGGTACGTCTGTTCCCTCCCCCTTCTGACCGGCCTATCCTTTGGAAAGGAAACAGTCACTATGGATCCACTTGGGACCCGGAGCATGACTGTGACGCCTCGTCGGAGGGTATCAACTTGCATTATTTTCTTTAGGACGTCTCCAACCTGTCTCTTGTTGAATGTCAGAGTAATGGGAAGTGCCAGTGACAAGACGGCGTATTACTCCTGATTAAGTGCCGTGTCAACCTAATTAGCGGAGTAATTATAAGGTGCTAATGAATGATTCAAAGTTCTTTGAGTTACATTTTACTCCAAATTACCATTTTAAGAACCCCATGAATCTGCGTGGTTGGCATAGCTTCCGTGACTAGGTGCAGAATGAGGTTACAAAATGGCCTTTAAAGTCTCCAAGGGCCGAATCTGGGGTGTAGTTGCGGTTTTGTAGGTCGCTTTGGCTTTTTTTTTTTTTTTTTTCTTTTCTATTGAGACGGGGAGAAGGTGTCTCTATTGAGACGGGGAGGCAAATGACCTCCTGGGACAAGATCTTGCCCTTGGATTGGAACTGCTGTGTGAACCCCAGATCTGGAAGGGGTGCGTGGCAGACTCATCCTCCCTGCGCTTTACTGGGACAATCGAGGTGTTTGACCCCGAAAAAAGCCCGAGCTATCTCGAGGGTAGGTTGAGCTGTTTCGGATCACCTTCATACCATCTTCCATCGTGCTCTCTCTGAGGAGAACAGCGGGGATTGGAGGGACCGAGGCGAAGAGATGTACAATCCGGGCTGCTCTCTCCCTTTTCTCAGAAAGCGAGGGGAATTTGGCCGTGGAGCCAGGGTGGGTGAGACGAGGCGGGGGACGTAGGAGGTGCTCCAGGCAAAGGTCAACGCTGGCCCGAGGGGTGCGGAGCACGCTGGAAGAACGTGTGGCTGGGCCCCGCTGGGTGGGGTCAGGCCAGCCTAGACTGAGAGGCTGCAGAGAGCCTGGATCACAGCCGGAGCTGGGTTGGATCTGTTCGTCTTTGACGCGGGAACTGGGTGAGGCCAGACACACCCTCCCCGGAGCTTTCGGGCCCAGGCCTTGGCCTTCCTTCTGGCCGTGGGTTACACGACCACCGGCGGGGAACGTACAAAGGCCATATGGATATCCGAGGCCGAGACCCCACCCCCAACTTTAGGCCCCGGCGCAGCACACCCTCGCGGGGTTCACGCCCGTCGCCTCTGGCCCTGATGACCAACGTGGGAAGAGCGGGCAGGGCGATGGAGCTGCCCGAGACTGCCAACGAATGCTCCACTTTCTTTCCTCTTCAATTATCGATTAGGGTTCTTCCCATTCTGACATCACCCACCAACTTCCCAATTGAGGTGCGTTTCCTCCTCGCCCTTGGGTCTCCAACTCGTACTCCCCTCGCTGCGTATTCAGGGTGGGAAGTGGGAAGGGAGAGAAAAACAAATTTAAAATCCAGAACTGACGGCACTGCACAAATCAATTATTCTCGACCTTGATAAATAATTCATTTAAGCCTGTTTTTGTTTTGTTCCGACGCCTAAAATGACTCAAGAGCTCAAAAGGCTGATCGCACAGCTTGTGTTGGGCGGTTCGACAGCGTTTTTTGCCTGGAATAATTCACAACATTGGCAGGGGAGACGACGAAATATGACCCTACGAAAAAAAAAAAAGAAATCGGAAAGGAAAGGAAAAGAGGAAGGGCGAAGCGTTGGGGGAGGGGAATGCGTGTTTTATGCATCCAGGGACCCAGTAGACCCCCACCTTGTGAATGTTTCAGGTCATCTTTTCTTTAAAAAAAAAAAAAGGTTAATATCATAGACAATTTCTTTGGTTGGGTGTTGAAAGATTAACTTTCGGGAGCAACAATGGTGAAGGGAAAATACGACCTTGACTTTTATCGACGCCCTTATATTTGGGTCCCTGCCAGAGAGGAAATGTTAATAATGGCCTAAACAATCAGAAGAGGGACTCAAAGACCAAACCACACACACTTCATGAAAAACAAATTTTTCAGATAAGATCTTGTTTAACTTCTCCGTTCTTTTTTTTTTTTTTTTCCTCCAGACAGTCCTCTTTTGCCATTCCCCGACCCCCGAGCATATATATAGTGTGGACATTTAAAACTACATTTTCTATAAATCAGGGCGCAGATTAGTCAATTTTCCACGTGAATAGTTATGCATTAACTGAATTTAATCTCAAATTTTCTCACTGTATGAAAGACAACAATAAGTAGAGTCCTTAAACTGACGTGAATTTTAAGAGAGTCACCCACTTCCAGGTCCACCTTTTCTTCTTAAGAAGGATGAAAAAAATTCTTTAATTCTGGGAAGCTTTTGGAATCAATGCCTAGAAAACAGTTATATTCCAACTGTGAATGATAGAGGACAAACATTTCCTTGCTGGCTCTGGAGACATATCAGTACCAGTGATACTTCCTTCTCACCACAGAGAATAATTTAAATACTTGGACATATCTTAAGTTTTGTACCTTAACACATCCACCACTTTCACTACCTAGATTTGGGAGTCTTTTAAACTGAAGCATCAGTTTTCTAAAATATTAGCTTAACTTTACCAAAAAAAATTGTGATGAACTTGAAGCTGGGGTTTCTTTTAACATTTCATTTGAACGTTTCTCAGGGTCCACAGGACTACAGTGCCAGCTGACCCTAATGAGGTGCAAAGGCGCTTCCCTCCACTGGGCGGCGACAAGAATCCCGGACCGAGGGAGCCGGTTATTGTTTCTTTCTATAAAAGATGCAGGATACACAGATAAGCTGTCCACCCTCAAAGGCTAACTCCCTGAAGATTGTATGACCTACTGTCATTTCAAAGTTTCAGAAATCTCGAAAGGATTCTTTTCTTTTTGCATTCTCTTCATGTAATTCCAACTGCTTAAGGACTTGAAGCATGTTTACTTAGAAAATGTGTGAACGAGAAAGACATGAAAATACTGAAATTGAGTTTCTTCCTTAAGTAGACCCAAACCTAGCCTGTGGAGACTGGGAGAAAGGTAAAATGAAATTTTAAAAATAAATAAAATAAAATAACTTAAAACAAGTTAAAATGATAGTATGTATAATCAATCATTGTTCAGGAGGGACTAAAAGTTTTGAAACGCAGTTCCAATGTCTTGATAAAGTTTGCAAAAGTTTTCACTTTCAAAACTTTAGAGACAAACAGCTTAGAAGGGATCTATGGAAGCTGGACTGTCTATGGAAATTAGATGTGTGATGTGTAGGAGTAAACAGGAAAGCCAAGCAGATGTGGAGGTAAGAGTGCTGGAAGAGAGGGTTTTCATCCCATTTTGCCACTTTCTAGTATTCTTGGGTGAGATACTTAACCTGACTGACAACCAAGTTCTTTGTCTATAAAAAAAAGGAGAGTTGCAGGGCTTGGTAATCCCAGCCACTTTGGAGGCTGAGACAGGAGGATTGCAAGTTCAAAGCCAGCCTCAGAAATTCAGTGAGGCCCTAAGCAGCTTATAAAAACCTTGTCTCAATTATGTTTCAAAAGGGACTGGGGATGTAGCTTAGTGGTTGAGTCCCTGGTTTAAAAAAAAAAAATTATCCTTTGCCTAGAATAGGATGGTTGTGAGGACCAAATAATGTCTTCTTTGTAAAAATTCTTTACAAAA